TGTTTAAACACAATAAAATTAATATGTTTATTTGTTGAATTTGTTGAACTATAATAAAGGCAACTTCCAGTGGACTTTGATTATTTGAGCTTCATAAAAAGTCTCAAATCATGTCCTGGCTATTTAATACTGGGAAAGTGTTTCTTGAAAATGATTCATGCACTTCATCTGTGATGTTGCAGCTTAGCTGTGTTCCACCATCCCTCCGCGTCTTCAACAGTACCTCTGGATCCATGTTGGAGTCGTTCGGGACCGAGGCTGTGCAGAGAATCCGAAGCACTACAGCTTCATGGCTGTGATGTCTCTCATCGCCACCGCCATGTTGGTGCAGGTCAGCCACCTGATTAAACTGGGCCTCATGGTGCTGGTCGTCACAGCAACTGGAGCTGTTAATATCTACAGCTGGCAGGACATATATGACCTGTATGACTATATACGGTTTACCTCATACAGGTGAGAAAACAGTTCAATGAACAGTGTATTTTTATGCAGTTTTATTGAAAATACATAAATAGTGTGATAAGCCAATAGAGAAACATTCTACTATCTTTAGTTGCTTTATAAGTCCAGTGTACATTAATGTTTGTTAGTAGGTCTGTATGTATTATAATTTATTCTGCCTCCATCTTCCAGAACATCCATAGTGCCATCCAAATACCTCATGACCATGATGATCATAGTCATGATGATTGGCTTCTACTTCTTTGCTCGCCATGTGAGTCACTTTCTCCTGTGCACCCACACTGTATCACACTGACCGGCAGCCTGTCTGCTACAACCGTCAATGTCAGCACCTACAGATGAAAGCTTCCTGAAATATTGATCACATTTCTTGACTGGTATTTTTTTCTCTCCAAATAACTCTTAAAATCTTAATATTATCTGACTTTTATTCCTGCTCTGTCTGTGTGTGTGTGTGTGTGTGTGTGTGTGTGTGTGTGTATGTGTGTCTGTCTGTAGTTGGAGCGTCAGTCAAGGAAGCTGTTCCTGTGGAAGATCGGTGTGCACGAGCAAAAGGAGAAGGTGTTTGAGATGAGACGCTGGAACGAAGCGCTGGTCACCAACATGCTGCCGGAGCATGTGGCCCAACACTTCCTGGGCTCTAAGAAGAGAGATGAGGTACATGTGAGCGTGTGCCAAGTTACAGTATCATTTAGATACGTGTGTGTTTGGGGGCAGTAAGTACAGAAGAAGAAAACAGTGTCAGGAAGGAGGCAGATGAGGAATGTCAAACAGCATGATGATCTAAAACTTGTCAAAAGCAACTTGATGTACCTTTGTTAATTGTATCACTAAAGTATGTACAGTATCATTGCCATCTAGTGGTCTATTCTTTAATCAATTAGCTTTTTGTTGGAATAAAAAATAATAAATTGCAATATAACATCAGAGCACACTAAAATCATGTCATTTGTCATTTGTAGGAGCTGTACAGTCAGTCTTACAATGAAATAGGGGTGATGTTTGCTTCCATCCCCAACTTTTCTGATTTCTACACTGAAGAGAGCATCAACAATGGAGGAATCGAGTGTCTCAGGATTCTCAATGAGATCATCTCTGACTTTGACAGCGTGAGTCCCAGCAGTGTTTGCACAGCTGATTGGATACATTGGTAACTAATGGTACCACTCGCGTGTGACATCACGGTGTGAACAGCCTGCAGGGGTTGTAAATGACTCCTCTTGACTAAAACCGTATGCGCTTTCTCTGCCAGTTACTAGACAGGGATGAGTTCTGCTGCATCACTAAGATCAAGACAATAGGAAGCACCTACATGGCCGCCTCAGGCCTCACTCCAGAGAGCAATACAAACGGATACAGCAGCTGCAAGGTGTGATACTACAAATATAACTAGTTACAAAGATCTGTTGTAGATAGTAACTGTGACAATTGTCCTGTTGTTCCACAGCCAGAGGACCAGTCACTTATTGAGCGCTGGCAGCACCTCGCCGACCTGGCAGACTTTGCCTTGGCTATGAAAGTCACCCTCAACAATCTCAACAAACAGTCCTTCAACAACTTCATGCTCCGAATTGGTAAGCATGTGTTAGCTTAGTTTCCGTACCAGTCAGTGAGAACTGAAGAAGTCCTTTGGATGAGGGAGGAAACGTCTTCTAGTATCTTCAACCAAGTCCAGTTGCCCTTGCCCTTCTTTGGATGTGTATGTTCATGTTTCCATGTTGATCCCATCCAGGTCTGAATAAGGGGGGAGTTTTGGCTGGAGTGATTGGAGCTCGTAAACCTCACTATGATATCTGGGGCAACACGGTCAATGTAGCCAGCAGAATGGAGTCCACCGGAGTGATGGGAAACATCCAGGTAGCACAAACACAAGAGCAGATATACTACAACACACTGAAATGTCTCCTCTTATTACTCCCCTTTTTCTTGTTTCATGCTCATTTTCAACTTCTTAAATGTCCTGCTCTGCCCTCAGGTGGTGGAAGACTGCTATGATATCCTGAAGTGGTATGGCTTCCGTTTTATCCGAAGAGGGCCCATATCTGTCAAAGGAAAAGGGAGCTGCTTACCTTCTTCATGAAAGGAAAAGATAAACCCAATTGTAATCTTGCTCCAGTGACCACTGCCTTACCACACCAAGTTGGGACTTCCCTTGAATATTTTTCCTGATGAAATGCCATTAACACAAGGATTAGGATATCTCTCTCATATACACAGGCTAGATCTTTTTCATACGCTCTTAGAAATGTAAAGCATATGGAAGTAGACCAACACAAGAAAAGTAATTCCGTTACAACTGTGAAATACCATTTATCGACAAAGGAATTTGATTCTGTATATTTGTACATAATTCAGGAATAGTTGACGATCTCACAGAGCTCCTGCATCAAAGATATTATAACGTTGCTCTTGATTCATAGAGTGCTATGAGAATTACAAGCTTGTAACAGACATATAAATTACTTTCTTCTTTTGTTTTACCTTGAGCTCAGGTTTTATAAGACAATGTAGTGTGTTTGCACTGTATTTAGGTTAATAAAACATCTTTGGGTTTTTGAGATTATTTTGTGAATCTTGAGCTGCAGCGTTGGCCTCTCTTGGTCGAACACGTTGTTGAGAGCAGCGCTTGAACTGGATTTTACACAAGCCATCTGCACAACATGCACATGCAGCTTTTGTGGGGAGGGATCTGGTTTGATTAGATAAATGAGCAAATAGTGGGTTTAAATGCCCTGCACACCCACACTGTGTAATATGTTACACAGGTGTTATATTAATATATTATATTATATTATATTATATTATTCTAACTGATTAGACCGCCAATGTGAACAATGAACCAGTAGAAGGTCATCCCACCTTAACCGCAGCGTAGTCTGTCCACATGAAGTATGCTAATCAGCCAAAATGAGGAAAATTACTTGTGGGTTGAATTTTATAGTTGCTAATTATTTCCAGACACATACAAACAATTCAAATAAAGAGGTAATTCCAATTTTTATTTTACATGATGATGTCAGACTCACTTTTTTGTAGTAAAATAAGAATTCATTAACAATGCCTAATGTTACATGCTTAATGTTAGCATGTTAGAATGCTAATGTTGATATATTACCATACTAAAGGTGAACTGCTACAAGATAAAGGAAGGTTAACAGTGCTGGATATATTCATTTTCGACTCATTCATTTAGTCTGATTGGTAATTAGAACTGATCAGTGATCTAATCAAGTGTGACTGTGTTTATTTATGTCATTCACTAATTAATTAATAAGTATATGTGGTGGCAACAGCCTTCATCAGCTTGTTTTCCAGATGAAAAATGGGGTTGGATTGATCAGGTACATCACAGTCTGTGTTTGAGTGGAGGAGGTTTGCCTGCCAATCTCAACTGTCTGTTGGTGAGTATGTCCAGTATCCATTTGCAGAGTATGGTACTCAAGCCCAGAGTGGTAAGTTTGATCAGCTTCATGGGAGAGAATGTGTTGAACTGAGTTGAAATCAAACAGCAGTCTGATGTAGTTGTCTTTCTCAAGGTGTGTGAGGGCTGAGGGAGGGAAGTGGAGATGGCATCCAGACAGAATTTCTTTTTACAACCATGTTGTAAAACAACAATTAAATCCCCTTGAATCCTTGAACCCTCTACAAGAGCATGGCCCACACTATGAAAAAATCCAAACAGTTGAATCCTGACCTACTAGAAGAGATTACAAGGACAGTTATACAGTCTATATTAATTATTAGCCAAATTAAAATAATAATATATTATATAATTGAATATTATTAAGAATAATGATGATGACAGTGATGATTTCAAGATTTTTTAACTTTTAGCCAAACTCAAAAACCTTCTATCGAGGCCTATTCTTGTAGATTATCTTGTAGATAATTAATGTGGGGCAACATGATGAGATGTGAGTGGTTTAGTTAGAAATGTAATGATGTAATAAACGTCAATACGAGGTTCACACATTTTGCTAATTTGAAATTCGAATAAAGTCGAGTCTGTGGAGACATTCAAATGAATTTTAATTTGGTGTGTTATTGTTGTGAGTTGATTATTATGCTAACTAGGTTCTCATGCGCCACCCATGGATTATAATTCTACCCGGAAGCCTGGTAGTGTAGGAATTTCCGGTTACGTCAGGGCGTCAGGACTCCATTAGAGCTGCAGCTGTTTTGAGAGAAACAACAACAAAAACGGGCTAACTGACAGCATTTCCATATTGACAGTCCGCTCTGAGCCCGACAACGAGGCCTCGAACCTGGAAGCTTAACCTAAATTTCCCACCCGGAGCTCCGCCGGCTTCTAACCACGGCCGCTCTCGGTGAGGAAACTCTGGCCTCCGCTTCCTCCTCCTCCGACTCGGACACCGGCGGAGCGTCGCCGCCCCCGCGGAAGAAGCACCGAGCCTCGGCGGCGGAGGGAGCAGGAGAGCCCGGGGCTTCAGCAGTTGTAACAGGCCTGTCCGCAGTTGTCTTAGGACTTACTACACACTCTCAAGCCACCTCTGCCATCCACTTTAACCGAAGTGTAGTCAACAACCTCAGCAGCAGTATGCAGGCAAACGGGGGCAGGACAGGGACAAGAATCCTCAGAGCTCTCCTGCCTGAACAGCGCACAAAACGGGGAGTCATCCTCGGCCGGCGGAACCCACTCGAATGGGCTTCTCTCCAGCACAGACAACGGAAATAGTGTCGGTACCAGTAACGGGTCTTCAAGCGGGCCCGGTTCGGGGACTTCGGCTGCCTCTACGGCTTCGGGCTCGGAGGTCGGCTCGTTGAAAAAGAAAAAACGACTATCGCAGGCGGAGGAAGATGTCATACGATTAATAGGGCAACATCTCCACGGACTAGGGCTGAAGTAAGTTTATTCAAAGTCGGGGGAAAAGCTACAAATACATCTAATGTGGCGTTGAATTTATGACGTGTAATCTGTATTACTGGTGTTTCGCTTGAAACTGCCAAACAGCAGTTGGTAAAAGCGCTATTAGTGCGCTTGACAGACACAAACATGGGGGGATGGGGTAGTTAGCCTGTGAGCTCGGCAGTTGGTAGAAAGAAGGGGTCCATCTTGCACAATAACAGTTAGCTTGACGGCTAAAAGCACTAGCCTGCGCTGAGCTGGTTTGTCTTGACATTAAACCTTCGTACAAACAATTAAAACACAGTCTAAAACATTTGGTTGCTTTACGTCCGTCATGAGTGGATGTATATTTTTAATGCCAGTAGCGCCAAGATGTGTTAATTAAGTTAATGTTATAAATTTCGTACTGAATAAAAGGCATTACATCATCTAACGTTGGTAACGTTTACTTAGAGATCCTCTGACTTGTTGTGGTTTGCACAGCATAAAATGTTACGAGAATGGAGAAACTTGATTTAGCTCCTTAATTAAGTACACAAGCAGGGTTATTGAGTTTGCAGTGTTGCGTTTGCGTTTCAAGGCCATTGCGAGAATAAATGCGGAGGAAATGTTAATGTGCGGGCTGTCAACCTCGTTTTTTTTCGCCAGGATGGTTAGTGGTTTTCTACATTTTCTAGCTCGGCTGTCTCGGGAAAAATAACGTGATTTTTGCAAGACGGTGCGGGAAGAACATTAATAGGTCGGCCACATTGTAATAACTATTATGGTTATGAAAACGGCTCTGGTTATTTTGGTATTCCGAGCGCACCCTTTGCAAGTCTTGAGCTGTCATTTCGAGCAAGTCTTTTATTTATCAGATGAATCACGAGTTTAAACGGCTAGATCATGAACATGATAACCTAAGTTCTACATGAATGTCTTCATTTTTGTGAGAGCAATGTGTCAACGGTGGCGTGCATGTATTTATTTAAAGACAACAGTCAGTACCGTGGGCGACAGTTCGTCCTGAACTGAACAAAATCGGTTGGTTCCATGGCGGCTGAAGAATGCGCTTTCTATCAGCTGTGTTAGATAGAAGCTTTTTGCTGTTTGACTCTAATTATAGCGTAGTGGGGTTTTCAAGAAATGCATATGTCTGGCCCTCTTTTTCACAGTGCATGTGGTAGCCACTGTTGGATAGCTAGACATCTGCAGATCTCTGGTATCCAGCTGAGAAAGTGCAGCTGCCATTACAAGGCATTATAAACGACAGACTTACATCGCTATGTTTACACGAAGGGTGGGTCGGGGTACATGGCATTGCCTGGTATAAAACAGAGCCCCTACGTTTCAGCTGGGGGAATGCAGGAGAAATCAGTGTAGCAGCCAGCTGGATCAGAGGCTCAACACTGCTGCGCCACTCCATTGATACCTGAGAATGATGTCATCATGCTGAAGGTGTCCGCCACCCCCATCCCCAGCCCACTCTCATTAACACACATGCCTCTCAGCGGACCTGGTGGTGGAGTTTGTTTAGCAAAGAGGTGGTTTTGGGACAGATGGTCATGGTTCATGGTTGACAGGCTGAGAGGATGATGTCAACTGCAGAGGAAGCTCGGTTCAACCTCCTACTGTCCACAAATAATTCTCCGGTGACACAACTGCTCTGAGCCGGCCGCCTCCAGACATTGTTCACTAAGAAATTGGCTTCATCCTATTGTTGGCCAATGATGTTAATATTGTCCCTGTGCTAAGATTATTGTTAGAGAGCCCCCAATCACCTATTTGCTATCCTTGTGAACATGGCAGTCACAAAGGGATGAATGAAATGCCATAGGCGATTAGATAATCAAGAAGAGTTGAATAATCTGCTTGGAAATGCCACGTAATTTATTCACGTGGTCATTTTCAACATCATACTGATGAGCTGATTGGGCTCTAAAAATATTATCTATCTTTCATAAGTGTAATTTGTCAATTTTAATACATTTTAAAGTTAGCCTCTCCTTTTCTTTTCTTCCATCTGTCTTGTGTCTATATGTCAGACTAACTTTGGCTCTCGCTCTGTGTCTCTGTAGTCAGACAGTGGACCTGCTGATGCAGGAATCAGGCTGCAGACTGGAGCACTCCTCAGCTACCAAGTTCCGCAACCATGTCATGGAGGGGGAGTGGGACAAGGTTGGTCTTAGGGTTAACATGGTTACATAATGGCAAGCACTTTGATAGACTGGGAATTTGTGACCTTCTTAGTGAAGTGTTCTCCATATTGTGCTTGAAGGTGAAGAGCTCATGTGGTCAAGACACCAGCAGACATATATCTTTGCAAATCATCTCGTATGACTTATTGACAAAAACAAGCATGATTCCTAGTAGAAATTGTTGAAGAAAGCATAAGCAAAGTACTTAAAGTGGTCTGCATTTGGGCCCCAGTTGCACAAGCTCATACTATTATTTGTTACATGTTGTACAAGCCTTATACACATTCCTTACAAGTACCAATTAAATTATTTTCTCGACCAAATGAGCTTACTGTTAAAGTGCTACTTGACTTCAGAACTGACAGTTTTAGGCCACATAGGTTTATTGAATATAGTGAATGAATTTCATGTCATGGATTTTGTTTTTCCGAACAATATTTCATAATAATGCCTATAATTATTATTGTGGAGAGAAAAATCTGACTTCCGGTAGTTGAGAAGAATGGTTGGTCAGTGAACTGGTCTTAAATTTTTAAACAAGAGTATTTGGTAAAAATAAAACTGCTCATTATTATTATTACTACTATGCTTAATGCAAAGTCTAGTTTCTGTCATTTTTATAGCAAGGCACTTGCCACACTATGTGCCCAGTATTATATTAAAATATCAAAACTAAGGTTTATCAGAACAAAAGCATAGTGGAGCTTTATTGCAGGATGTTGAGGGCTCCATTAGGCCCTGTAATGAGGACTTTGAAAACATTAGGTTTATAATTAAGGAGTTTTTAAATCAGCAGTCTCGGCTGTATTACCCTGTTCTCACTGCAGAATAACAACATTTTAGAGCTGAGACTCATAAAAGCACATCTTATTAAATTGGCTTTGTGGCTCTTCTGAAATAATGGCCCTATGTAAGAACTGCAGGATGGAAATTTAACACCAACCTTGAGCCAAACGGTGGTCAATTTCTGGATGTGGCAAGTAGGTTTGTACTCTCTACAAACCCACCATAAACCAGTCACTCATTTGACATTTGTTTTAAATCTAGAAATCTGTTTTGTTTTACTGGCAAAAGTTATAAAAGAGGCCAGTATTTTTTTGAGAAACATAAAGGTGTTTTATAATTTTGAACACAGCACATGGTCATCGGCTATATTGTTAAAACCTCAGTTTACTCATCTTAAACAGGAAAGTGTCCATAAGATCTATATTACTGCTCATGTGATTATATTTTTCCTGTGCATGCATGGAAACTGCTGAGCTTACCATTTCTCTCTTTCTCTCTGTCTCTCCCCTCCATCACCCTCCCTTTGTTTTTATCCAGGCTGAGAATGATCTCAATGAGCTGAGAGCACTGATGCATTCTCCCAATGCTATTGTGGTAAGCTCCCCTTTCCCAAACCTGAGCTGGGCTGAATGGCAGCCAGTCAGTTAGGAGGCACAACTGGAGGTTCTAGAATGGTACCATTTAAATGCAGGTTTACGGGTTCTTGTTGTGGAACACTGAAAGCTAAAATGTTCTGGATGACACTTCGGAAAGTGTAGCGGCAGGAATAGACATCCCATTAGATTTAGGGTATGAGTGCATGAATCGGTTGTTTTTAGGAAAAAAATGTGGTTCAACTTAGCAAGCATGATTCTTGTTTTCTTGTCCTGTTCTTTTAGCTACTTCAGTAAAATATCAGTTATTAACATCACATTTAAAATATCTTATTTAATACATATCATTGTCACAATTACTTTAACAAATTAAACAAAGGATACACATTGAAAATGTTCATTTATGGTATGTGTGAATGTTTATAAGCCAATATATTGGACTTCTGTTTAAAGCTGAAATATTTCATGTCTGCTTTAAAAATTATTTAAATTCAGATGTCACTGCAAGAGCAAAACTATAGATGTGTCCCATTTCCACACTACATAGTAACTGACAATTTCTTGGATATGTGCTGTAATCACTACTCAGAGAGTTTTGTTGCTTGATTTTTTGAGTGTGATGTTGACAATGCATTGCCCTCTGGAAATAAAGGAGCCACACACATCAGGAAAAAGATAAGTAAAAATTAATATGGATGGTGGAAAGATAGCTCAAGGGACATTCTTGAGGGGGCTTCGGTGGGTTATTACATTTTTCAAGTTTGCAAACTTGACATTGGCAGTATTATTAATGTCTTGTATGTCTTATATTATTTTTGGTTAATACAAAATGTTAAAAGTAGTGGTTGACCGATACGGGTTTTTCAATGGCCGATATTTAGAGAGAATGCCAATATCAAAACAAAGAAAAGTCGTGTAAAATGCCATTAGTCCAGGTAGAGTAAAATCTAATATACATTATCTCACAAAAGTGAGTACACCCCTCACATTTTTGTAAATATTTGATTTAGGGATGGACCTATACGTTTTTTTTCCGGGGCGATACAGATTATTAGTAACCAATTAGATCGATATGTGGAACCGAATTTTTAATCTTTGTGTCAAAAACACAAACTCCAACACAAAACTGTGTTGAAAATAACAAGATTAAAGTTAATTGTCATGTTTAATCTTTATAAATAGTAAATTAAATGAATGAGAGATCCATCTCAGAGATGGACTTGTTAACTATGAGTGATAAAATATAAACTTTGTCTTTACCAGCTGCCATTTATATTGTATTTATTTTATATTGTTAGAATATCATTGATACATTTATTGATACTATTTATTGGTTCTGTTCTTTATCTGTACTCTTATAGGTTTTTCATTTAATTAATTGCCTTTTAAAAATGTTATTAAAAAAGAATAAATTCAGAACAGAAATCAAATTTAATATATTATTATAACTAACTGTTTTCAGAGCAGCAACAAAAGTAAAGTTTACAGCAGCAAAATAACAATATAAAATCAATATCTCGTCGGAAACAAATGTTAAACTATATTCCTGACATCAAAATGCTGAGTGAAGTTTAGAAAGAAGAGCGAAGACATCATTATCAGTTCTCATGTCCTCCTCCCCCCTTTGCAAGGAGTTGCTCAATTTTAAGATACGTAGCATCTCCGCTAAACAAGCTACAGACAAAGAGATTTACAGGGTACCCGCTTGGTCTTAAAAGTGTTTTTAAGTCTTACATTTCATGTTCTAAAAATAAGACCTTAAAAGTATTAAATTTCATTAACAAAGCATTCAATTTCGTTGACAAAGGTCTTAATTTTTTTCGTGTCCTTTCGTAGGATCAAATAAATGGCGTAACGTCATAAATAAACACGTTTGTGTGTGTGACAATTTACTCTATTTGGTATGACTTAGATGTCATAACGTTACTGTTTACGTCAGTGATTAGCTTCGCTCTGGACTGTTCGCGTTGCATGAGCTCTGGCATCCGGCTCTGGCGTGAATCAGTCAGTTGTTGGGAAAGAAAACAAAACGTCTCTGACGGGCTACTATCAAGCTAACGTTGGCTCGTCGACTCAGAATGGGCAATTGTCTGAAGTTCAGAAGGCCAGAGATACGCACACGTTTGTGGACGAGGCTGAGGGCAGCGGCGCTGAGGTTAGCACAACGAGCGGATCGGCGTGCGAGTCAGTCACACTATGGCGAGCGCTAATGAAACAGCGGAGCTGGAAGACCCGCTGCAGTTTAGTCAGTGAATGTTATAACAGCAACGGAAAGACAGTTGTGCTTGAGACAAGGACCGTGTTGGCCTTGCGCCAGTATTGTAGGGTGACCTTATGTGATTGGAAACATCCACAAGCTCACGCACATTAAACTTACATCACCCATATGAGCCGATAACCGGGAAGAGGAAAAACAAACCGGAGCCCAACTCTTTATCCCCGCTGCTTGCAAGTCAATACTGCTGTATTTCAAGCAGCCTTTAGATGCAAAAACAGAACAGGATTAATAATCATTGAAGCAATTGGCTTTTACATAGGCATATTAGGCAACATTACATTACCTTATCTAGCCGAGGAGTAACTAATTGTAACAACTCAAACTGCACAATTTATTTTGTATTTTTGTTTTCACACTATAAGAGTTGTTAGTGCCACTAATATTGTATAATATTGTATTTTTTAAAATATTTTATGAAAAATGGTATTAAAAAGGTTTTAAAGTCTTAAATTTAACTTGGAGAATCCTGGTGGTACCCTGGGTGTACTCACTTTATTGAGAAACTGTATACTTTGCAGCATGGAAATGGGAATTCACTCTGGCTAATTAGCCCCAGCTAGCATGCAAATTAGCAGACAAGATGAGCTTCAAAAAATGGTCCCGCATGTCTCAGTCAAGTGCTGCCTGCTCTGTTTCAGAAATCTGTCTAACTGCCATTACCAGTGGCGTTATTGAGATAATGCCTGTAGCTGTTAATTTTTAGCTGTATGTACAATGTGGGTAGCCATTTTAGGTCTTGAGTTGTAGCAGTTTAGCAGGTTAGTGTTGTCATTGTCAACCTGATTTTCACTGCAGTTCCAGTAGGTGGTTTATCACAGGCCTAGTTGGGGAGTTAGGTGAGGTGTGTTTTTGCACTCCTTTATGTGTAGGCTTTTGTGGGTGGATGTTTTCCTGAATTTATGTGTAGCAGGTTTAACTGTGCTTGTACAAGTTGTCAGGGCGGCTCCTACTGCATAGCTCAGATAAGACTCTTCGCAGTGACTGCTAAACACTTGCCGGGGGTGGTCTTCAGTCTGAAGGAAGTAGGCTATTGATGTTGATTACCATATGTCTGGGGCACATCTATGAATATGTTCTGATAATGACAAAATGCTGCCTTGCAATGTGCTACTGCCATTTTGAGTTTTGATGGCAAATGACAGCATACATTTCATACAGGGATTTATTTTTTTTACTATAGTGATTTATTTTTACTGGCTGTACCCTTAGATTTAAGGAGTTTTATGTCCTTGCAGACCATCTGGATCAGTGGTTGACATCGCTTCTTGTTGTAGGGAAACCCGATGTAGTAGTTTAAGCTTATTTGCCATTCTTATCTTCCTTCTCTACTCTTTTCAGCTTTTATAAAATTTCTTTTCTGTGCCTATGTCTCTCTTCTTCTACTCAGCGTATGAAGTTCCTACTGCTGCAGCAGAAGTACCTAGAGTATCTGGAGGATGGCAAAGTCCTGGAGGCTCTGCAGGTGCTTCGGGGAGAGCTGACACCACTCAAGTACAACACGGATCGCATCCACGTACTTAGCGGGTACTGTAGCAAGTTTAATATTGCATCTGTCTCATAGCAGTCATCAGCCAGCTCACCCTGTCTACAGAAATGCACATCTACAAACAGCCATGTATCAGGTAGCTCTTAGATAATATTGAAATGTATGAAATTAATTGTCCTTATGTACTTTATATATAGCTTTGGCAATATTGCTGCTATACATTCATGCCAATAAAGCTAATTTGAATTTTTGATAGCTCTGTAATCAGTAATGATACAGCTCCCACCGCTGGTGGTGAGCCAACTAGAGAGCCAGACTTTTACTACTATGAAATTGATATATTAAATGATGTAAGTATTTTTTACGGTTACGTTTTGTCACAGAGCTCCTGTTTATCAAGTAACACAATAAATTGTAGGTAGGATGATTGGTAGAGATGTATATTTATCTTGAATAGTCAGGGAAAGCATGACTATTGACAGCTATCATGAGGCCTTTAACAATAGTTTCAGTATTTACCCCATATTTAGATTTGAGTCCTAGGCTGCTCTAATGTAGATTGCTCTAATGTGTAGATTGAACAGCATGTTAAAATCAATATTCTTCAGTGACCTCTAGTTTGTTATTAATTTTGTTCTCCAATATACATATTATGCTACAAATATTATTTTATTTTGACATATAGTAAAAGGCTGTCAGTAGCTATAGGATAATCTAATCCACAGTCAGATCAATGCACAGTGCCTACGCTCTCAGCAAACACACTCCTCTGATCCATTACCTAATCAATTTGTGTGCATTGATCCCTCCACACTGCCGACAAGCCTGTTTGCCCTAACAGTCTTTGTCTTAATTTAGGTCAGTCATTGGCTGTATCCGTCAGCTCATTCTCTGACCTGCGTTACAGACACTGACATTTACTTAATTTCAGGTTCTATAGCATACTGTATCTGTTTTTTGCTCTTGCTGGCAACTTGTAGACAATTTTTTTGTTGTTGTATTTTTATTGTGATAATCAGGCTGTGTGTGTGTCATCATTTCCGGCGTGTTTTGTTATGCATGAGCTCTGTGCTTGTGTCTTCCTGCAGGTACCTAATGTGTAGCCATGCTGAGGATCTGAGGGCAAAGGCAGAGTGGGAGGGCAAGGGAACCGCCTCACGCTGCCGACTGCTGGACAAATTGCAGAGTGAGGAAGCGTGTCTATACACTGACTCTGTAGAGCTGGCACACACATTGCATGACAACAACACGTGACCAATATGCGGTGTCAATTTGGCTGCTTTTATCTCTCCTTTTAGCATACCTGCCACCTTCTGTGATGCTGCCCCCTCGGCGGCTGCAGACCCTGCTGCGGCAAGCAGTGGAGCTGCAGAGGGACCGCTGCCTCTATCACAACACCAAGCTGGACAGTAGTCTGGACTCAGTCTCTCTCCTCCTCGATCATGTCTGCAGCAGGTTGGTGCGGCACAGCTAGCATGCTGCTCAGGCCTCTCGAGACCTCAGTGTTATATGATCATACTGCAGCATCTGATATTTATGTAACATTTGACCTCTTGTTATAAAACTATAATGTTGACACATATCTTGGAAAAACCTTGATTTGTGTTTCCAAATGTTGAGTTCTGCATTAGTAGATCTCAGCCCATTTACCATCTCTTGTATATTATTATATCTTATATCTTGTCCCTGTCTTGTCTCATCTTAAAATCCTGTCATGGCTACACTACTCTTATTGTTTCATAAGTTTAACCTTTTTATTTGGCTTCCTCCTGTCCATGCCCTATATTGCATATTTAGTTTTACTGTGATTGCCACATGTGGAGATATAGACAATATAAGGTAAAAAATTGCTGACTGACACACTGAAAATTTTAACCTTTGGTCTTTTTCCATGTCACAGGAAGCAGTTCCCCTGTTACACCCAACAGATCCTGACAGAGCACTGTAACGAAGTGTGGTTCTGCAAATTCTCAAATGACGGCACCAAACTAGCCACAGGCTCTAAAGATACTACTGTCATAATTTGGCAAGTGGACCCGGTGAGTGTAAACAAAAAAAAACAAATATATATATTATATATATATATATATATATATATATATATATATAATACTGGGAAGCCTGTGTAACGGTTTACGTTATGTCTGCTAGATAAGAACCCTGGGACAAACCGCATTGATTCACAGAAAGTCACTTGTCCTCCAGGTTCTTTTAAGTGGGGTCAGACTTAGGAAATACCTTTACTTTTTTTAAAGATTTGTTGTAGTTTAGTGCCACTTTGACATAGAATGAGAGAAATTCGTAAATGTCATGTGACTTCTTGCCAACTAATGTTAGGGTTGGGTATCATTTAAAATTTTACGATACCAGTACCAAAACCAGTACCCTTAAAGTGATATCGATACCAATTGAGTACTTCATTCGATACCTTGCATAAAATGCCACCTGTTCAAGCCATAGTAGTTGAATGGTAGCTTATTGTTATTTTTATTGTTGTTATGGACAAGCAAGGTTATCGATTTTATTTTTCTTGTTTCAGATAACTGCTACATAAAAAGTATTGGGAAATTGTATCAGATTGTTCCTCATCCTAATTCGGTCATCCTTACTGGTAGTATTATAAGAGGAAAGACAGCTTGGGAGATATTTTATATTTGAATGAGAGAGGAGGAGTGAAATAGTTTAGTGACCAAATAAGTTGTGGGAAATTAATTTAAGGTATTGTTTTGATACGTGTGTTGAAAGTTAAGAACGGAAGATTATTTTATTAACTTTCGATCAATAAACTGAATTGAAACATCTCCGCGAGCACTTTTTCCTTTAGTGGTGAGTCCCAAACCTCTGAAAAGACGACAGTCAGAAGTAGAAAATGAGAAAGCAGTCTGTTTAAACAAGTCGCTAAACTACACTAAAGGACTCACAAACAGAGGAAAAGAGAGGCTGCACGTCCAGCTGATCAACCTAGCTACACCTGAAGCAGCTGCAGACAGAGGCTTCGTGAGTAAAATCAGCTGATTGCTGCTGCTCCACAAAAGCATTTAATTGATGTGATGGAACACAATGATCAATCTGTGACAAGTGATGTGAATAGCAAATAAAAATGTACAGAGAAGTGTTAAATGTTACCAGAAGATGAAACCAACTGAAAGCCAAGCTTGTGGTGATAAACCTGCAACAGTGACGAACATGCCTGAGACACAGCCAAAGGTGAGCGGCTGCTTAAATCATGCTTGGACTCCGCGTGTGCTGGCCTTTTTTGTACAGTTTACGGAAGGGGAAAAAAAGGCATGCTCTTCTCTTTCTTTTGGTGTGTTGCTTGCGTGTTTGGATGCAAGCAAAACCATAAAAATGGTCATTTTTTGCTGCGATCTGGTTACAAAAAATAGGCCTAGGTATCGATTGAAGTACTGGTTTGACTGGAGACGTTTTGGTTCTACTGGGCTGTTTCGGACAATACCATAAAGGTACCGAGTAGCGATATCCATCCCTAACCAATGTGCACCTGTTTGATTTTGCAGTGGTACTAGGATTACAAGTTTTCAAACCAAACGATGGCCCAACCCTCTGTGAAATTAATTCCATCATAATCCTCTTCATCTTATCTTCATGTAGGAAAGCCACCAGCTGAAGCTGCTGCGAACCCTGGAGGGTCACGCATACGGTGTCTCCTACTTAGCCTGGAGTCCCGATGACACCTACCTGATCGCCTGTGGGCCTGACGACTGCTCTGAGTTGTGGCTGTGGAATGTTCAGGTGACTTCAGACCCCCACTGCTTTTAGCTTTGCATAATCCTGTACTTGGGAGACCAACTAATTGTTTCCATATGCCAGCCCCATTTTTACATCTGAACATGACAGTGAAAGTTTGTACTAAAGATTTGATCGGTGATGTCAAAGACTTGAGATATCTCATTAAAATAAAAACAAGTGGAAAACAAAAACATGCTTTAAGATATTGTGTATGCTGTGTGTACTCAATGACCTCTCCTCTTCTCCCATCCTTCCCCTCCCTTTCTTTTCCTTTTTTTCCACCCCTCCCCTTCTATTACTTAATGTTTCTTCTTGCTGCTTCCCCTCCCCCCCTATTTTTCTCTCCTCCTCTATTTTTCCACCGTGTCTGCCAATCCCCTCCATGACCAGACGGGGGAGCTGCGGACCAAAATGTCCCAGTCCCATGAAGACAGTCTGACCAGTGTGGCCTGGAACCCTGATGGCAAACGCTTTGTCACTGGAGGACAGAGAGGACAGTTTTATCAATGTGTAAGTAGATTGATACATTTTCTGCTTTATTTACTGAGTATCGTTTCAATGTGTTTGTACTAGCAAATGCCTCCAAAATATACAGCTTTTTTCATTGATGTTGTGAGTGACTGGCCATGTTATTTCAAAATAGATGAGCCTATATTTGCCAGTTATCCACTATTAAATCACATGTTGTTGAGAGGAAGGAAAGCAGTTTGACGTATGAGCCACACATTCCTCTCTGTTCTTAAATGTGTCTGAGCAGAAAGAAAGAGCATCCTCTTGTTACATAATGGTTTCTATGCTACACTATGCTTTGTCCGTGTTTTCATTGCTGTGTCAAGGATTAGGGGTACATTACATTTATTCATTTAGCTGACGCTTTTATCCAAAGCGACTTACAATTGCTATGAATGTCAGAGGTTGCACGCCTCTGGAGCAACTAGGCGTCTGTCTCTGTTGTCAGGACCTGGACGGTAACTTGTTGGACTCCTGGGAGGGCGTGAGAGTGCAGTGTCTGTGGTGCCTGGGTGATGGCAGAGCAGTGTTGGCCTCAGACACCCACCAGCGTATACGGGGGTACAACTTCGAGGACCTTACGGACAGAAACATGTATGTGTAAGCCCTAATTGTTCCTGTACTGTTGTGTATCTAAGCATTTTGCTTCTGAAAGCCAGCCAAATGAGTTTGTTATTTAAAGCCCCTTCCTAGTCACTGTCCAACCACTTATGTGTTTTCATTTAATCTACCTTATCAGAGCTCATCTCCGGACTGGTTGGGTGTGTAGAGAAAGTTCCTCTTCTTAGCTTTGTGGCATCTGTTGGGGCAAAACAATTCACAGCTTTATCATTAGAGTTTGATGACCTCATGTCATTTCCAGCAGAGCTCTGCCCAACATCAACCTAAGCACACGTCTAATCAGTTGAAAACACATGTATGGGTGTGCAGGACCTTTATTAATAGCATTTTGAGTGCAGCTGTCATATTGCCAATACATAGAGTGCTACACAAGGGTTTGGGCACGCCTCGGCTTGATGTGTTGCTCTTTAACATGATCTAAAAATCAAAAGTAGTGGATATGCGTGTGTATGTACTTTCAGTGGAGTTCTTGTTCTCTGCTACCAAAAAAGGCAGACTTCAGTGAAGTTTGCCCACAACGTTCAGCGTAAGCTACAGTTTCATTGGGAGATAAATGTCTAGCACAACCAATTGAGCAATGAGTCAAGGTCTGTACAAATGGTTGTGTACTATTGAACTGTTAGTATCATGTCGTCAAGCTACCAAGATTTCCATATCAGCTTTATTTGTATATTGCTTGTTTATATTGTAATGAATATTTGCATTAGTCGATATGGTGCCTGACTGCCTGTGTTTTGTTCACATGTCCTTTACAGAGTTCAGGAGGACCACCCTATCATGTCTTTTACTGTTTCAAAGAACGGAAGATTAGCTTTGTTAAATGTAGCAACTCAGGTAAGCTTTTTGACCAACTCAGTGTCAGTATCAGTTTGTTTGCTTCCAAAGCACATTGCCACTTTGTTTTGACAAACACTATGCAGTGCATTACACAAGTTATAGGCTGTATATCTACAACCTTTTGCAGGGAGTGCACCTGTGGGACCTTCAGGACCGGGTGCTGGTGAGGAAATACCAGGGCGTGACCCAGGGCTTCTACACCATCCACTCCTGCTTTGGAGGACACAACGAAGACTTCATTGCTAGTGGCAGTGAAGGTACAGTCAGAGTATTGCAGATCAAAAATATTAACAAGAATAATGTTAATATTCGGCTGTTCTTTGTGATAACTTGTAGTTCTTCGACTGCCCTGCAAACATAACATTTTCATAAAATTTTGTGGACTTTGTAGGGAGTCAAGAATCTTGCTGTGACTGTCGTGTCTTCTCTCAGTGTGGTGTGATTATAGTGCAGTTTTGTGGTGATTAAACTGCTTGTTGCACAGAATCACTGCTGATGAGTGCAGTAATACTACTCATGTGAACAGACTTTATAAATCTGTGTTTTCATATTGCCTTCCGTGCACTGAATATCTTTACTCCCACCTGTTTTTGTTTGTCATCCCTTCTCCACAGACCACAAAGTGTACATCTGGCACAGGCGCGGTGAACTTCCCATCGCTGAGCTAACAGGCCACACACGCACTGTTAACTGCGTGAGCTGGAACCCGGCCATCCCAGGACTCATGGCTTCTGCCTCAGATGACGGCACAGTGCGTGTATGGGGTCCTGCGCCCTTCCTCGACACACAAGAGGCGGACGGACTCAATGGTAATGGCCTAATCTGTATTTACCATAGTGCAAGTAAGCTTTGTTAGCTCAGAAATGGTCATACATGATACTTTTAATGATACATGAAACTTGGTACTCAGATGGTTTTACACATAAAAAATGTTTCTTTTGCTGGTTGATATTATTGTAACTACTACATTTTTAACCATCAAAATTATCTGCATCTTTATGCTCACTATTTAAAACTCGTTCTGCAGAGTTATGGGAGAGCTTTTTGGTAAAGCGTCACTGATGTGTTGAATGCTTTTTAAATTATATGGTGTTACATTTATAAAAAAAGATTTTTTTTTCTCCTTAGAGAACTGCAGTAACATGGACAGTTGATGGTCACTTTATGGACCAGATGACATCTCTCTTTAACAAGAATCCAAGAATCCCACAATAAAACAAAATCTAAACGGGCGAACAAAATCTAACGGCAACCCTAAAGCAAGTGAAGAATAACAAACAGAAGCCACCAAGACAAAAGAGAAAACAAAAGTGAGATAATGTTGTCTCCTGACTGGCCTAGACAAAACGGTGGAGTTGATGATGTACCCTCTGAAAATTCAGGTACTCATTCAAAACCTGATCCTGACCCAGAGGAAAAACCAATCAACACCCAGCGGGACACGACCGCCATCCACATGGTGAGCTGTAACGGCTGTTCTCCTCCTCCAACTGATCCTTCTTCCCCCATCTTGCTGCATGGTCACCAGCCATGCCAGGTCCTTTGCAGAGTTTCCCAGGAAACCCACTTCCACCTTGAGCTTGGAGCACATCAAAACCCTGTGATGCCTCCAGACAAACACCGCAGACTAGCCGTCTACTCATTGGACTACATCTGTCTGCCTGTTTGTCTCTCACATTACCTGTAAAATGTCTCCATGGACATGGGTGGGGTGTTGTTGCGGGAGGATGGTGCACAGGGGAATATAGCAACTCTTCTGTATGTATGTTTTCCTCTTCACCACTCTCCTGCTATGTTCTTCGCATTTGATCTGTTGGACAAAGGCTGAAAATCCACCATAAAAACACTGTCCGACCAGCTGATAAAGAACACAAAAAAAAAGGCTATGCTAAATGTCGGAATTTTTTTATAATAGTCATAGCGTAATTCTCATTTAAAAGGTGAATCTTAGCTCAAGTAGTTCCCGTGGAAATCTTTAGCGTGAAGACTCCACTTTCTGTTTCTCGACATTAGGAAAACAAAACTTTTTATTCCTTAATTTAACTTCTAACAAGGACAGTCGCTAAAATGTTTCCAACTGACAGCCCCCAAACCCCTCTGTCGAGCTAGCTACCGCACAACTCCATTTACATCTGCCTAAGAGGGGAAGGACAGAGGGATTCACAGGTCACACATCAACGGTGAGGGGGTCAGACGTTGTTGGTGAGGTGGGGTTTCCTCTGTCAGGACACGTACTGTGACCTTTCTCAAAAGACATGCTTTCAGATGTGAAAGAGTTCAAGTGCAACTTGGATTGCACACCGTTGACTGCTGTCCCTCCTCCGTGTGTGTGTGTGTGTGTGTGTGTGAGAGAGAGAGAGTGAAAGTGGTTATGCATGCGCATATTGGTGTGAGAGCTGACATTTGTGGGTGCAGGTTTAATCGGCGCGTGTTTTTGTATGTGTGCTCAATTCACACCAGCAGAAGATCCACCCCACTCCCCTTCCCCTGCGCTCCTAATCCCATAGTAAAATTGTAAAGAGGATTTTAAACCAATTCTAAGTTATCCAAAGCCCCATAGGGACCTCTATCTGTGGAACAAAGACTATTTGAGAGCCATTTTGTAAAAGAAAAACTTTTCTTTAATCTGGGGCTTTAATTTTTACATTTGAATTTTTTTTTTCTCCTAACCACACGGCATTCAAACGGCACGGAGTTATCAACAATGAATCATCTTTCTGGGGAGAAGAAAAAGACATTTAAAAAGAGGCATGTTTCAAAAAGCTGTAAAGTGTTGTGTTGTTAGCAAAGGGTCATTTCATATGAGAAGTTAATGATTGTAATTATTGGCTGAGTAGTTAGAGAGAAGAGGCACCAATAACCAGAACCACTCTCTGAGCCTACAGTGTTAGTGTTGTTGCAGTCCTCACACACACACACACACACACACACACACACACACACACACACACAACCAACACACACACACACACAAACACAAACACAAAACTGCCTTCCTGTTCATACGGTTGTACACACATCTTCAGTATGTATGACACCACCCCACACTGCACTCAAAGTGCAGTGTCACCACACTTGCCGTTCTGATGGCTTGAAAGGTTGCATTGGCAAAGACTCAAAAACCTTAACAGGAGATTGCTAAAGGATTTGAGCCCTTAGTATGCCTCTATGCACCCAAAAGCAGTGACTGATGATGATTTTAGACATTATAAAACTGAACCTCGCACATTTATGGCATGGCTGCCTCATCTCGAACCTACCACTCTTGGAGTGTAGAGAGAATTCAGCATTAACACCCCCTTTGCTCTCCTGCCAAGTTATTCAGTGGTCAGTGCACCATTCAGAGCTTTCTTCCTTCCTTTTTCAGGGTATGTAATGACTATTTGCTACAGACTGATATACAGTAAAACATGTTTAAAATCATTGCTTTTCTGTCTGTTTTTATTGAACTTTTTTGTTACTTAAATTTTTTGTTCACATTATATCATTTTTTGGTTGACCTCTATCCCTGTATGATCATATTAAAATATAACCAGACATTTGGAGTCCTCTTTTTGTTTTTTATCTTTGAGCCCTGTAATCTTTCTTTTATTCATATATATAAATTTTGTTGTTTGTATTCATTTGCATTTTATCTACCACTACTATTACAAATGAATATGCACAGTAACACCCATGCCAATTGGAGTGGGAAGAGTTTTTAGGAAGTGTGTTACCTACAATCAAATCAGGTTTGAACTATCCACCCCTCGCCTTTAAAGAGTTTGCTTCATGTGAAAATCTACTTCATCGCATGTCTGTGTAATTGACCGAAATATCTCTTCTCTCTCGGTGTGCCATCGTTGGTCGCCGGTTGCCACTTCTCTGACCCCTATCAAAGCCAAATCCCTTGAGGCACACTGGTGTTTTCTGTAGGTTACTGTGTCATGGTCTGATATTCACACTCTGGAAACATCTGTCCTCAACTCCTGGACTGCAAACTGGACTCCTCCTTCCACACCCGACATTGTGTTAGAAGACCTGAGGCAAATCATACACACATAGAACCCAGTAAGCCCAGTAGAGCCCATCATTCACCTGCTGGTGGCAAATGCTATGTTCATATGCAACCTGGTGTCTACCCTTCTTTTGTCTGAGTTTACCAAGGGAGTTGTTTCTGATTTAACTGTCTTATTTCTCTCTCGGAGGTGGTGGTGGTGGTGCTGGGTAGGGGGCTGGGTGGGGGAATACTAAGGGATTACTGTAGCATCTCTAAGCTCCTTGGACTAGGGTGGGAGGGGGTGATGTGTGGCTTTGCGTTCAATGTGTTATTTACAAAAGTGATTGTACTGTTTTGTATTGTTGTGTAGGAAAAGTGTTATGTATGCATATTTTCAATAAAGCATTCAGGGTTTTGGAAAAAAAAAAAGGCACATGGAAGTTTGATGGGGCAAGAGGTTGTGAAGGCCCCCAGAACAACGTTTGAGATACCCAGAAAACTCATCTCTGCCACCCTTAAACACAAAAAGGGGATCCAGGTTGGCCCTAAATCACTGCTTTTGGCAAAGCAAGGTCTGTAGTGGAGGACACTGGGTTGAAATTGTACTTTGTATTCAGACATTTATTTCTTGAAAGCGATGTCTGGAGCCAGACCATCTGGTAAGAGGGCAACTTCAATGCCATTAGGAATAATAAAAACAGTTGCCAATAAAGTGACGTTATTTTGAGTAAGCTTTGTTGTTGTCTGTACATTTTTGTACAAAACCTGACATTTACTTTAGGGAGTAGGTGCACAAGGCATGGGTGCTTGTAAAATGTGTTAGAATATCTACTTTGTAAACCCAAGGTGTTCAATATTAAAAATCAACCAAAACAATTATGAAGTAAATAATCCTGTGAATTGATATGGACAAAATATATAATAAAACCTTAAAAATGTGAAATAATCCAACACTTTTTTTAACCTGGTTGTTGCTTTGCAGACAGCATAACTAGCTCTGCCTTGTTTGTCTTGACTGACCAATAATGGCTTTGAGATAAAGAGTGGTTTTATGAAATAAAAAAGGCACATTGGGTGGAAATTGTTATCAAATTAAAAGAAGAATTTGGAAAAATTACCTTTTGAAATAAAAGTTACTGGACTGAAATAAAAATGATCTGCAATAAAGTCTGTTATTGCGGAAAAACTACATAATGAAAGAACATTTCATAATAATGACATTAGGTTTTTAAGTTGTACTATTTTGTTATAATAAATATTAGACTTTTTTATTTCATAATGTTGTATTTATTCTGCAGTCAAGATCTGCACTTCACTCAGATCCAACCATTATAGTAAATGGTGAAGAAACATTTAATCAGTTTATCTGAAGCATTTAAAGGCCTTTTTTACTGACCTCTATGCTGTTATGGATTTAGGAACCTCCTGAGAAGTAGGAAAGCATTTTGCCTTTACAGCAGAAGAGACGCAAGATGTGTGGGCTGTTTTCCTATAGGCTGCTGGCTTTATGAATTTATAGTTAGCGTGCAGGTCTCTTCTGACTGATAAGGCTAACATACACAGCACAACATAGCCATTATGGAAACCCAGCTGACATGTGTTTGTTTTGCTGTATCTGAAAGGGGAGGGGCGTCCACACTGACGTCATACTGCTCCCCCCCCCCCCCCCCCCCCCCCCCCCCCCCTGTCTCACAATCTCGCTCAGTGTCTACAAGCCAAGAACCAGAGTACCATCGAGGGGGTCTAACTGGCTGTCATCCGAGCTCCCACGGTAGTCATGGCGGCGCCGTTAGCACACTTCGATGAGGACTGGCAGGAATTTAACGAATTCAAGCCGTCCTCGGCGTCGGCCGACCAGCTGAACTCAAATGTGGAGTCGACGTCGGGCCTAGACGATTTCTCAGACCTGGACAACAGTTTCTCAGGGGAGATCTGCAGCTTCAAGTCGATGGAGGACCTCGTTCATGACTTCGACGAGAAGCTGACAGTGTGTTTCCGAAACTACAACACCACGACGGAAAACATCGCCCCCATTAAACCCATCACAGAGGAAACTTACTTGAAAGACGACGAGTGAGTGTGCATTTTGTGCGGGCTTTTGTTTTTTACGCTAACTTTTAATCTCTTTGCTAGCTAGCCACGTTAGCCTCACCAGGCTAACCTAACGTTGAGGTAACCCAGTGAAGGATATTAGCTTAGCTGCAATCAGTGTCCAAAGTTTATTCAGCTAGTGCATGTTTGTGAAACGAAATTGCCTGTCTTGTCGTAATATAACAATTCAGAAGCGGAGAAGCAGAAACACGTTACAGTCTTACAAATGACAAATTCAATACATTTTTTGACTGTTTGGTCCAGAAGGGATGAAGCAAGAGTTTGAATTCTCCTACATTAGTAATGTTGGGCGCACGTGTGTGTGTGTGTGTATGTGAGAGAGAGGAGGGATCATGCCACGTTACCAATACTTGATTGCATGCTAGATTGGTTGATTTTAGCTATTAAGCCACTGATCCATAAAGTGGATATTGAGAGCAAGTGATTGGCTGTTGACCCCTGCACACTTGCCCTTTATCCTGTATTTAAATTACCTTTGGACTTGACCTTTAGGAGCCCTGTTGTCCCCTCTTACTGCAAACAGACACAATATGTCATGTTTCATACATGTAATCGTTACTTTCTGAAAGGTTACACTGTCAGATGCAGCTCTTGTTATCACAGCCGGAGGTCCTCAGCAGTTGTTGTATCTTATATACACTCAAATGTTACAACAACACATTCACATGACACCATGCTCTTACTTCCCAGCAGCTATTCGCATCAATCCCACACCAAGCATAGACATCACTGCAACTACAGAGCTGCGAAGGCTGCATTAATCACCCTCCTCTCACCTTCTTCCTCTTCTTCTGATCACATATTGTGTGTGTGCGCTTCCCCTGCTTTACCAAAAGGGAACTTAGTCATGTATGCACCACACACAAGTATTTCTTCACTTGAGATTTGGACATGACTGAATTAGGACTTAGGTGTGGGAGTCCCATCACTGTAGACAGCTTTGTCCTATGTTATCACAGGATTGTGTAATTGGTTGTCAATATAGACCTATGCTGACGTTGACGATGAAAATGTTCTTTAAAAGCAGTAGTTTAGGGCTGCAGCTGCTGATCAGCATTATGTTGATGAGCAGAAAATGAATCAGCAACTATTTAGATAATTGATTCATCATGTTAGTTAATTTAGCAAACTGCCAAACATTTTCTAATTTCAACTTATTAAATGTGAGGATTTTCTGCTTTTCTACATTTATATAGCTTGTTTCTTGCTTTATATCATTGTAAATTGAAAATCTTTGCGCTTTGCACTGTTGGTTGGACAATATAAGACATTTGAGGAGGTCATCTTGGAAGGTCCATTTTTTCCCCTACTATTCATTGACCAAATGATTAATAGATTCAATTAGACTTGACAGTTTTCAGCAGATCAGGCAGCTATTTTCTCAACTGATGGATTAAATGTCAGCTGGTCTCTAAAATGTCAAAGAAAAATGGGAAAAATGGAAAAGACAATTTCCTAATGTCCAAGATGATTATTGCTTGCTCAACCAACACTCCAAAACCAAAAGAAGTTTATCTGACAAACAGCACATTTTGACACAAGGAACTAGTGCAGGTTTGGTATTTTTGCTTGAAAACTGATTTGAACAATTAACCCTTTTATCAAAATTGTTTCAGCTGTATGGTGGTAACATTGAAGCTAATATTAGATAAATATCTAGCAGGTTACATCACAGATATTAGCCACTTGGACATGAGAACTGAGGACTTGGGAATGGACTAGAACAAGTCCTTGGACATTGGGTTTTTACCTTGACATTTTGTAACCTATTTGCAACTTTGCCACAGACATACACACTGACAATTATAAATACAGCGGGGAGAGCTTGTCACAGCAAAGAGTAGCAACATCTAATGCAGCTAATGGTTCACTAAATGTTTAGGGGAATGTAGACAGGCATCTCAGACAGGGAGAAGATCATCTATGGTTGCTGTAGGTAAAGAAACAGTGGAAAGAGGAAATAGAATAATTGGACAGCAGCCCCGTGAAGCCCAAAGAGCAGTGCCAGGCTCAGTGAGAGTCTTTTCTGGATGACTGCACTTTGCAAGACGTGCCTAGGCGCTTAACAAGTTCTCCAGCAAGACCAGGGCTCAGACGAACAACGGGGGTGACAGGGACGAAATGTGTGTGTGTGTGTGTGTGTGTGTGTGTGTGTGTGTGTGTGTGTGTGAGGGGGGGGGGGGGGCTGAAAAAGCAAAATGTGTTTGTGTTAAAGCCAAGTTGTGCATGTGGAATTATGTGTGCCCACTGTGTGCAAGATCAAACAACATCCGCATAAATATATTCAAGCAAGAGATTCAGACAAATTGGCACGGTGTTGAAGTAGAAACAAGAAAACTGGTCCCCTGAAATCTTGACTGGCCTTGGGTCTGAATGTAAATGCTGTCAGCGGAACTGAAGCTAATTGTGTATTTTGGCACATGTTTGAGACAGTGTCTTTGCTTGAGGCAGAGGGAAAAAAAAACAATTCCTGACAGCCTTCGCCCTATTTAGAAAAAACCCTCACAACCCCCCACCCCAAGCTGTGCATGAGCACTTCAGGGGGAAACATGCAAGTTACATAAACACATCCCTGCATGTGTGTGTGGGTGTGAGAGAGGGTATGACGATGCAGAGCCACTCTGACACATGGGTTCACAGCATCAACCCTCGCTCTGCTCGCAGGGCCGGGAACATAGTGACTTGCGTGTGCACTTTGAGTTTTTATTTTCTGCACAGATTTGATTTTCGGTGTTTGAAAATGTGCGTAATGCCAACAATAGTGAGCTGTGAAACAGGAGGTTAGAGCGCCTCATAGGCTTGGGCAGTATCAGGGTATTTAGAAATCCTGGCAGTATGACTTTCAATACCGTCAAAATACAGGCGTTCCTTTCTATGAAAATGATACGGAGATGCTGTATTGAGCTGATGTATTGTACAGTAGTGTACACCCTCAATGTAGGCAGGCGAGTAGGGTTAGGTGTCGTGAACCAGTTTTTAACAACCATGCATTCGTTAAGACACGTGCATTTTGATTCTGCTTATCGGTTCCTAACTTTTTGCATCAACGCTGAAAAAGTGCTGAAAAGATAACAACAAAGCAAAGTGCAACACCTGCAGTAAGGATATTTTGTGCAAGGGAGGAAGCACGTCGAGTATGACGAAGCACTTCAACATGGCGTGAGTCATTAATCGAATTAACGATTATTTGACGACCATTATGTTAAAAAGCAACTATTTGGATAATCGGTTTGAGTTATTTTTCTGTTTTTTGTATTTGATTCCAGCTTCTTAAATGTTTAATATTTTCAGGTTTCTTTGCTCCTATATGAGCATAAACTGAATATCTTTGGGTTGTGGACAAAACAAGACATTTGAGGACGTCATTTTGGGCTATGGGGCCCTTTTCACCTTTCCTGCCATTTTATAGACCAAATAACTAATCGATTAATTAAGAAAATAATCGACAGATTACTCAACAATGAAATTAACTGTTAGTTGCAGCCCTACTCACACCGCCCACTAAAAGGAGCTAAGAGCTAGCAGGACTAGTAAACAAAAAAAATTTGGGTTTAGCCCTGATAAAGTTGAGTCAGCCAACACGGATGAAGCTGTGTGCACATCATCTCTGTGTCGGTGTCTGCCGCGGCAACAATTGCAGCAAGAATCTGTGGAAGAAGGCGCTTTTCCCCGATACGTTCATTATTCTATGGGCCATAAGTATTTAAACCCAGCTAGACATGTCTAATTAAGTTACATGCTATAAGTGCTACAATGACTTCAATTCACCAGCATACTTGACAACCTTTCACGGGAGACTACCTTTTTTTTTTATTATTTCCCGCTGCCGGTTTCCTCACGTATTTCCTGTATTTCTTCTGATTTATGACAAATGTTCAAATGTTTCTGGCGATGTGCGGTGCATATAAGCCATAAAACTGTCTCTCTCTGCTGTTTTCCAAAACGTGATGCGGGAGATTTTATTTCAAATTTGGTGTACACATACATGCACACCTTTTGCAATGACCCTTCAAATCTGGCAACCAGTAAGTTTTAAAAAAAGAATAAGATGGCAGCTTTCACAGTTGAACAGTAATCTTGTTTGTTTAACAGACTCCACGCCACCATCTGCTCGGCTGTGACGTGCTCTCTGCCAACTTGCATGCAGCAGAGAATTGTAAACATACATCACTCTGCTGATATTATCAGTAAACTTAGAAAATAATCTGATGATCTAAACATATGGTACTTAAATTGGTATAAATGACACGTGATTGAGGAGTTGTTGAATTCGTCAGTGTTTTCAGGCGGCTGCTGTGAGATGCAAGAACACAGTGAGGTGGTGAGGGGGTGGTCCCACTGCAGGACCCGCTGTAACGCTGCCAAGTAATGCAGTGTCACTGTAAAAAGAGAAGGAAACAGGGTTTGTCTTATCTCCTGTGAGTGCGAAACGCTTCACTTATCGTTTGTCCTTTCGCTCATTATATTATTCTTCAATCCCAATTATGTCATGAACTCCTCTTTGCTTTCCTCCAGGGTGTGGAATGCTCTGACAGATAATTATGGCAACGTGATGGCTGTGGACTGGAAGACATCGCACACTCGCTCCCTACACCTGCCCACCCTCAACCTCACTGAGCTCGAGGTACCACAGACACACACACACACACACACACACACGAGTCCTCTTGTCTGATGTTTCAGACACACAGTGTGCGCTCTGCAGCCTGTGCGTTCATAATTCTGCACTGTTTTTGAAAGGTCACCTTGCAGGAGAAGAGACACAAATGTAAGCAGTTTGCTCCACAGCCTTCAATCTGCTTAACCACCTGTTTGCTGTCTCATCCAAGTTGTCTCTGTCTCTTTCTTTCTCTCCTTCTCAAAATCTCTCCCCTCCCTCCCCCGATGGACAGAAGTTGGATAACCAGTCTCTGGATCTGTCGGACGACGAGGAGCTGAGGGAGCAGATGGATATGCACTCGATCATCGTGTCCTGCATCAACGATGAGCCGCTCTTCACAGCTGAGCAGGTAACTCTTCATGCTCACAGCGGTTTGTGGTGCATTCACGTGGGTTGTTTTGGAACCCATCATTTGGAAAACTAAAAAGGACGGAGTCTCTGTCTGTACGTGTGTCGATTTTCTCAACAACCATTCATCCCATCAGAGCCCGAGAACCCCCCAAGTTCTAGATGCAGCATTTCCAGCCCCACAGTCTCAGTCTGTGACAAGATTATACCCAGAGCCATGTAAACTCTGAACAGCACTGGTTAGACCTAACAAGATGTCAATTTGAGTTTTAATCTCAACGTTCTGATTAGTGTTGTTAAAAATATTGATTTTTTTGATACATATCGATTGTGAATATTTCAAACGGTTTTAGTACTCATTTTCCACAGTATCGATCCTGAAAATGCGCTTCTCTTCTCCGCGACAGCGAGCTGATACACACACCGCAGCTGTGCCCACACAGCCCCGCCTCCTGTCATCTGTCGCTTTCTTCTTGTCTCATTCGCTCCGTTTTAAATAGGCGTTTTTTCCCCCCTGCCAGTTTCGATAAGTCCTGCCCTACGTCATCATACTTCCCAGCTTTGAAAAACGTGTTTCCCTGAAAAATAAAAGCGCAAACAGCTTTAGGAAAGCCTTCTTCTTTTTTTGTTTGTTATGTTGCAGTATGTCTCAGAGTATTGAACTTATCTTTCTCAGCCAGTGCTTTTTCCTTATCAACTGCAGCTTCCTCGGAGTCGGACTCATTTGACTCTGCAGGACTTTCCTCCTTATCCATCTCTGCCAGAGCCTTATCCTGCAACCACAGAAGAATAAATCTTTTGTAATCTAACGTTACTCCACGATTTCATAGATCATGTTAAGTATATTTTATAAGAAAGCACACCACGTCAAACTTGTCCTGTGATTGGCTAGTACTCTTCACTTGTGATTGGATGCTGGCAGAGGATACAAGCAAGCCCATATGAAAGTGACGGCACAGAGTGGTGCTAACAAAAGAGCAAAGCACCTGCAGGACCGACACGCCGCCCTCTATAAAGAACAGGGAGAGGTTGGAGACATCTCTCCTGTCAACAACACTAAAATATTAAACAAGAAGGGCAGTAAACTGTTGTTAAGATAGTTGTCCTGTTGTTTGCCCAACAGACATTTATAATTCTCAAAATTAAACTAATCCCCCTCAGAGCTATCGGACCTGAGGAATCTCATACAGCAGAGTTTCAGTTGACAGGAAATAGGAAAGTAAATTAACTCGTGCTGTTCTGCTTAACACACAGTATTATTAACTTAACTTACTAAGATAAGTTGATAAGATAATTCAGTAATTTAATCAATGTCGTTTTAATTTTCCCCAGTGGTATTGAATATAGATAGCAGTAAATATTTTATTAATTCACTGTTAGGTCTGGATGAAAAACTTAAATTACTTAGATACCTTTAGATTTTAATGCAAATGCTGATAAAATTAAGTTGGCCTATAATCAAATCTTTTAATTGTGTAATGCTTTGACATTTTTAATAGAGAAAACATTTTCACATTTAGCTTTTTTTTCATGTGTGCAGTATGTCTTTGGTTTGCATTAAGTCAATATAATGTTATTTAAAAAAGCAGCAATACCAATAATGGTTATTAATTTAGGTGTGGCTCATGTCTAAAACTGGTGGTATATTGTAAAATAACTGTGTTGTTAATAAAGTTTAAGCAAGAGGGAAAAACTGGTGGTTAATGCAGCACAGTGCTCGGTGTTTTTCACAGAATTTTGGGCTGTTTGAGGGCTGAAAGTTCAATTGTTGAATTCAAATGTTTGCACTGCAAATTCCAGGTTTTACTGGAAGCTGCTTTGTTTCCTGTTTTGGGGGCCTTTCCTTTGTGCAACATATTTACATAATATGCAGATTCCTGGTTCATGTAAAAACAACAAATCTAGCCTAATCTTAGGCAAATAAAAGCCCATCCTGTTCACTGATGTTTTCTGTTTAGCACGACATTATATTGAGAGCATGTTCAGTTCCTTTTTGTTTGCTTCATGCATACACACACATACACACAAATGTAACGTTCTGGTCGGGATATTTCTTCCTCAGAGGCTGTTATAAATCTTGTGATGATCTAAAATAGTTTTCAGAGAGGCAAACTACAGACCTAACAGACCTGGAACAACTGACAAATGACTTTGTTTGCTGGTCATATTCCAGTTGAGATTACAGCTTACTATGTTGAATCTCTAAACCTCTAATAAAATAGCAACTCACAACAGACTCTTGTGCTGCAGTGCCACAGATACATTTGGTTTGACCCTGATATTGCTTATGTGGCTTTCGCATACGTCAGCTGTGGCGAGACATACAGATCAGACTGGAAACAACCTTAATCTTGTGTCACAGCAGCTGGAGTGATCTGCCTGACTGCCCTGTTGTTTGTTAAACCTGAAGGCCTTTGATCTTTACATTAATGTGGAACTCTGGCAAGGGGGCTAGTAGCTTAGCAGGCACCAAAGGTAATATATTAAACCGGGAATCATTGTTTTAAACTGCAAAACCAGCTGGGAAATGACAAACCTTCCTCCTCTATAGCCACAAAAATAGCACAGAAAATTGTGAGCATGTTGTGATTTGTCTATTTTTTTTATTTATTTTTTTTAGGTGATAGAGGAGATAGAGGAGATGATGCAGGAGTCTCCCGACCCAGAGGATGACCAGAGTCCCTCACAGTCCGACCTGTCCATGCTGTCTCAGGACCTCCATGCCCTGAAACGCTCCGGCTCGAACACTAGCTACGAGGATCGTGAGTACCGCTTTGGTTGGGGTACATTTACAAGAAGAGAATGGATAACGGATAAAGCTTTGAATGTCACTGTGCTCACCCCTCCCCTTGTGAGACAGCGGTGCTTTTTCACTCTCTACTGCCATTTGACAGTTCTCTCCATCCCTTAATGAAGTGTAATAGGTCGCACAGTCTGGCACATGAATAAACGGCTACTCACACACACGTGCGCGCATTCTTATGTAATGTGTAACAAATGTAAAAAGACAGCAATTACGTTATACATGTTATATAATAACAGCATAGATTTGGTTTGAACACAATTTCTAATGCCAGACTGGTATTGAGCTTTGCCGTAAGGCTATAGATTTAGTTTCAGATATCTGCATATATTAACTGTAGTGTGTTTAACATTTTAGACAGCGCGTAATGAGTGTCTCAAAGTGTGTGCACAATAATAATAATAATAATAATGATACTTATTTTTTGTATAGCTCTTTAAAGAGGACTCAAAGGCAGTTTACAGTCCATCACAGAAACATTAAGAGCAATTTCGGTACAAAAACAACCACAACAATGACAAAACAAAATGGGGGGGAAAAAAATGGGTACTGGCATCTTAAATTTACATCATCTTTGCTCTTTGCCTTACCTTAGGATGCACTTTAATGTGATGTCTTTACCTATTCTAATCTTATTTACCTTGAATGTGTACTTGCTTGTATGTTACCAAACAAGATTGCCGTGAATGGACAATAAATTTCTGTCACTTTTAAAAGAAGATTTTCACATGTGCAACTCTACCGTGCTTCCACACAAACCCGTACGCACAACACATAAATATACTCTACGTCACTTTACTTCTTTCTAATATATCTACACCCCATCCTCAGGGCTGCGTCAGCTGTCTGTATCTGAGCTGACCGAGAGTCTGGAGGAAGTGGAGACAGCCATTCGCCGTTACAGCGAGGAGCTGATCCAAGCTCTGGCCCTGCGAGACGAACTGGACTATGAAAAGGAGGTACTTTCTTATTTGTGTTGTTTTGTTATGTTTTTTCTTTCCCTCAGTATATACTGCATCTGTGCCTGCCGAGTTTGTGAAAAGTTAAGAACCAGTCCAAAAATGACCAAGTTAAGTTCCATCCAGCTGACTTTGAACATGAAAACAGAGTCATAACTGTCACCATTGACTTGGCTTCATCCACACTACTCTGGTTTTTTTAAACAGTTTTATAACGAATACGATCTTCTCCGTCCACAGCAGCGTTTTAGCTGCGTATCAGAGTTGATCTCTGTCCATATTAAAACGACTGAAAACGTACGTATCTGCCGTTGAAAATTTTTCCGGCGAGTATTGCATCATCTGATCAGCTTTTCTGATCGGCTGTTTTAGAGACCACCGATCAAACTAGTTAAATCCATTATCGGCCAATTTCAATCGGTGACCAATCGATTGAATCATCCTTATGCCTTGTGCAGACTACACGACTTTCAGCATCGGCCGATCGCCCTGCTGTTCACACTACACAACTTGCCATCTTGTGACGGGAGTCTTGAAGCCGTTCACACTGCGTGACTGATCGGTGAAAGGGGGTCGCACACTGCGCGAGCTGACAGCAACTCTGACACCCGACGCTGGTCTCCAAACCACATTTTGTCAAGAAAACACACATGAAACGGGAAATAACGCGAACCTACACACGAAACAGCTGTTGTTTGTTATTATAGAGATACCAATTATAAAGACAGAATATGGGTGACAGAATGGATTAACACACGCAGGTAGCACGGATTGTCTGAGCTACAGAGAGCTGGAGGTGAGTAAAATGTGTTTTGCAGTTGAAAAAGTAGCTGCCTGCTCTCATTGGCTGGATGTGGACATCGATTCGGCCAACTCTTCCAGATATTTGGCATGCTAGATATCTGGCAAATGTCGGTGATGTGTCAGAAATGTGTCGGGGAGCCATTTTGATGCGTCCTTGTGTAGTTCACACATAAGAACTGGCAACCGCCGATCGACCACTGATGTACCCCCAATCACAGGCTTTAGTTGTGAGCAAACAGACTGCAGCGGTCACAGTGTTCTGTAGGCCTGAGAGAGAGAGAGAGAGAGTGTGTGTGTGTGCGCAGTGAATCGCTTGCAGCTTTATTTTCACAATGTAATTTGCTTCAATGTCATGACTCTGTCTCTGTCTATTTTTAACAGTAGATAAAAATAGATTTCTCTTAGAGAATTGCATTTATAATATAAATAAAGCAATACAAAAAAAGTAAATTGCAGTTTGATCCTAAAAGTTTTGTATAAATAATCAAACAGGTGAAGAACAGCTTCATCTCGCTGTTGATCGAGGTGCAGAACAGACAGAAGGAGCACCGAGAGCTGCTGCGGAAGAAGAAGAAAATCAGAAGTACAACTACAACCGGGCCCAATGGCCAGAGGACAGCCAGCACACACATACCGGGCACGGTGAGTCATGTGGTGACACGGTGTGGGAGGCATAAACAACAACAAACACACACACGCCCTGTAAGCATGTTTCTAATGACTGTCAGTGAGGTAGACATGCACTTTATAAGCGGAAATGCATGACAAGATGGTTTGATGGGGGAGCTGCTTTTATACTAGCACCAAGGGTTTGTGCCAAACCTTTTTTCCTTCCTTCCCTTTAATATAGAAACTTCTGTATCTGTCTTTACTCTGCTCTTTTTCCTCCTTCCTCTCACTCCTTTTAGCTCCTCACTCTGGAGGGACTCTCCAATGTCATTCAAAATGGCCTCCGTCAAACCTTTGGCAACACAGAAGGGGACAAACAGGTGCCCCTGCTCTTTCTTTCAACTCGCATCTTTTTTTTTTTACTTTTTTTTTTTTTTCTTTGCAGACATTTTTCTGTCCTCTTTTCTGTCTTCTTATTTATTTCATCTTTTTACCACGGGCATGTCCGTTTCCTCCTCAACAGCCACCACTGGTGTTTGGTCACTTATTTTTTCTCTTTGTGGTTGATTTGAATTGTCTCTTTTTCTTCAGATATGTCTTATCTTTTTTTTTCTTAACTTGATTTCTGTCCTTCACTTGTCATCTTATTTATTTTACTTGATCATATTTTGCAGCTTGTCTATTTAGTTTTAAGCCAAGATGATCATAAACATTTACATTTACTCTAGTAAGTCTGAAAGGTTGAAACCAGTTGCATACAAGTCTATGCTTGCTTATCCTATTTTCACATGTCGACATCATATTTAATCACAACGCTGAAGTTGATTTCATCTAATATCAAAGTAGGAGACTGTACAATGCAAAGAAATTTGGCAATAATTGCTTTTTAATATAATTATCCACCTGCATGTGTCAGTGTTTTCCCATTGTGTCTTACATGATCCTTTCTTTTTCAGTACCTGACCACGGTAATCCCTTATGAGAAGAAAGCGGGCTCCCCGCCTGTAGAAGACCTCCAGATCCTCACAAAGAGTGAGTGTATCAACACACACACACAAAGTGGACCATTAATGACACAATTAGATATGGTATTCTCTGCAGCTTGTAGCTTTTTTTGGGTTTGTAGCAGTTTTCTTTGTATTTTCACAATGCAATGTGCTGCTCTCTCCCTGCTAGTCCTCCACGCCATGAGGGATGACAGCGAGAAGGTCCCTGCCCTGCTAACAGACTACATTCTCAAAGGTAAACGCACAGCCTTTCCTCTGATCACTTTTATCTGCTTTCCCACACGTTTGATTTAAGTGAACGGCAACATTAGTCATATCAAGTTTATTGCAGTGATGTAAGAAGCCTGAAAGATGATTTTTCTAACCGCGTCCCAAAAGTGACTTATGTATTTAGTTTTTTTTTTTTTTTTTAATTTTAGTTTTCCTGCCAGGGTTTCAACAACTCTGCCTCTGATTGGTTAAGGTGAGGGAAAGGGTGGGATTGGGGTTAGCGTTAGCCAATCAGAGGAAGAGTAGGGGGCAGGACTTGCCGCAGAGCTGGTGTCTGTCATATGAGAGATGCTGAAACTCTGGGAGGAACAAAAATTAGTCAGTCACACTCCCCCCTGTTGCTTGAAAGAGGAAGTACAAAATTAATTTCTCCTCTTTTTAAGGGGAGCTGATAGTAGAAATACAGGATGCTGCAGAGAAAAGAAAACAGTAGCACTTATATTAAATAAAGGGAAGTGGGAAAGTGCTTTTCTTGCCAGCCTACACTGTTGACCTGTACCTTCCTTGTCTTTCGTCTGTGCTGCATTGCCCTTTGGGTAGCTCTGGTATGAGAACAGTGGAAACTGAGGTTCGTGAGGCACTGACACATTAACACAGAATCTTCACCTCCAGCCTTCTTCTTCTGAGCCCTGTCAAACGCCCCTCTCTCTTTCTCTTTCTCTTAGTACGCTCACGTAGTGTCACACTCTTCCCCCAAACAACAACAGCAGCTTCCCCCAGCTCGCTGTGCGCTGTAGTGCCCATTGTGCTGTGCAGTGCTTGTGGCTGCACTACACCTACCCTGAAACACATGCAACACGCTCCCCTTTTACTGCCAGCTTGTAGTAGCAGCTGTTCACGTGTCTGCTTCTCACCTGTTTTTTTTTTTCTCTCTCTCTTCTCTCACCCCACATTCTTCCCCGTGGTAGTTGCTCTTCCATCATTGACAGCTCTATCTTCATTGTGCCACGGCTGGGGATCAAAACAGCATTGGTAACCAGCTGATCTGCTCTTGTCTCCACAGTTCTTTGTCCCACGTAAAGCCAAAGGCGAGCCTCCTGTTTCCAGAACCATCCATTGGACTATCAGAAGAGGGTTCTGGTAATCCGGAAAAACCCGGATATCTCCAAATCTTCCTTCCTCTCTATTTTTCAACACATAGACTTCTCTCCTCGTGGCATTTTTTTTTGTTTACTCCACTAACTCTAGCTATAACTCCTCAGTCTGTATAGTTCTTCTCATTTGTAATGTTTTAATTTTTTAATGCCCGAATGCTAAAACCCTGTATATCCTGACTGCATGATAACTCGTCTATGGATGCCTGTAATCAGTATTAGTCCAAACACCTACCTTCCTGATTAGTGGCTCTTGAATGCAGAAGGGTGAGGTGTATTTTGATTCCACAGGCTTCATTGGCAGGTCCATGAGAGGGAGATGCAGTCCCATCTGTCTGTTTTTGTAAATCAAACGCATTTGCATCCTTGTAGTTCATGCCTGACAGAATAAACAAATCCTGGCGGAATCTCTGAATCTGATAGTGCCAGGCTGGTTGTGGTATTGAGCATAAATCCTGTTTTTCCTGTAGGGAAACCTTTGCTTTGATGGCATGTGTTGATTAGTTGCATATAATAATGCATTTGGGGTTGAAAACCCTTTAATTTTAAAATCCAAAGTCATAGGCCCACCGCTCTTTGCATGTTGCTTTTGGATTTATGCTCAATATTTGCCATTAGTTGAATGTTAAAATGAAATATTTTGTATACGAACAGAAATTGCAAGATTTTGGGAACTTTTTACTTTTTGAAAAAGGGAAGGGGGGAAAAAAAGTGTAATGACATGAGAAAGTAATAGCTGGATGAACAAAAGAATATATTTGGAGGTTTTTTTTGTGAGATTAGGGAATTGCCAGTTTTGTGACCACACTGCAACATCGTTTTGTAAATGCTGTCCATTGACCTCTGAACCTTCGAATAGTGACCGCCATCCCCAGCAACTTTATCACTTCCCCGGGAGTCATCATTGCCCGAGTCTGCAAATACCTTGCATAACTTCTTTGCACCAGTAGAAAATGACTGAACTGGTCTTATCGTTAGATAAATAGTGTCGTTAAGATTATGTTAGATTTGATAATTGTGTGGTTAAGCTTCTGTTATAAGATGTGGGTTTTCTCTATCCGTTCATCCTTCAACTGTCGCGTAATTTTTGTGGTAGCATTTTAGTCTGTCGGTGATCTGGTCATGTAGTAGTGGAATATGTGGTGGTGGATGTACTTAAGAGTCCGTCTTCACTAGATTAGCGTAGTGGAGCTTAAGCTAGTGGTGCCAAAAGCACGCCAACATGTAGGATTGTTGTCATGCTGTAAAATACACTTTGTGATCTAAGCCCTGCAGCAGCTTTGTCAAAGTTGAGAGAATCACCCTGATGATGTCATGGTCATCTCGGTTTGGGCTTGAGACTATACATTTAAGACAGAGAAAGCCTGTTCAGACTCGAGGCATGGCCCGGGCCCCGGTGGTTTTAGAGCTTACCCCGCACCAGAGGGCCCAAGTCAGAATATGTCAGAGTCTGCCTGCAATGCAATGCTAAATCACTGGAGCATCCCTTTAAAACCACACACCCCCAATCTAACACTACACGTTGTCGCCAAGTTGGTACACTTAACTTTCAGATCACCAGCGACCACAGGTGCACCACATTCTGTCGGATCAGGTCTAGTCTAGCTCTCAGGTACGCTCATCAGTGTTAGTAGTTTAAAATCTTGTCCTGAAAGGTACTGACATTCCTGAGTCTTTGTATGTTTCTGGTAACATTTTTATCAGCTAGACTTCAACTTGCTGCACTTTTATCTTTTTACAAATTTCTCTTAAACCCGGACGAGCCGGTGGAGGTAAAAATGGTAGCCTCTTGACTAAATCAGGGTAGCATTACAGATGTTGATAATGTCGTGACTTTTTTGAAAACACAATTTGATGTTTAAAGTCTGAGACGCCACTAATGGTAGTAGGAGTAGCTAGCAATGAAATGGTATGGGCGAAACCCTCTGTAGAGGCTGCAGTAGCATCCGCTCGGTGTAGCAGTCTAGTGACGATAATGTAGATGCAGTTGAGAAAAAGGAAATAACTTTTACTGGTTACATTGTTTAAGCATGTCTCTTATGCGTATGGCTAGAAGAAAACGAGCATTGGAGGAATAAAAGGGGTGTGATAAAGTTGGGGAAAATTGCACAAAAGGTTGCTTAAATTTGAGGGGTCTATTTATCCTTTCAAAAGCTTTTAGTGCTATATTTAACTATTTATATGTAACTGTTATTTTTACTGTTCCCAGCTGTGAAAACGTACACAACCTAGCATGTGCTACAGGCACTTTACTGCTGCAAACACATTTCTAATAATGAAAAATCTGTTTGTTTACTGACAGATTTATATCACACTAAAGGGACGAGTGCATGTTGCAATGGAAACCAGAAAACTCAAAGCAAATGAGTACTTAATTTAAAAAAATAAAAATAAAAAATTTAACTGTTAAAGATATCAAATGGGCCAACATCAGAAGTCTTGTGGCAGTGAAACACATGAGCCACCTTAAGAAAACATCCCTTAAATAATCAAAAATAGTCTTACAAAAGGTTAAATGAAAATGGTCACGACAGCAACCATGTAAACCTTATTTTGTTTAATAATGAAATGGCGGTTGCTGGAGGATCTCGTCTCAGTCCAGAGCCCCTCCTCTGGTCTCTTAGCAGACATATCAGTAGAGATTTATATTTATATATGTGCAACAAAACGAGCAACAGGAAAAGAGGCTGCCTTTGTAAATGCCTGACTTTTTTTTTTTTTTGTACATTAAACCAACTCCTTTTGTTTTTAATGCATTATAATTCCCAAGTTTGGGGTTTTATGTTTACGGTCTCACGTGGTACTGCAGTACAGTATATTAATTTATTATGTATATGTTTGTTTTGTAACCATATTATTTGACTGTAATGGTACAAGTGTTTTGTGCCCACATTGCATTGCAACTCATTTTAAATAAATTAATATGTGAAGATTTTTATGTGGTTTCGGCTCAGTGTGAGGGGGTGTGTATGTGTGTGCAGAAATTGTAAAACGCATCATTTTTTGTTGTTTCATTAAATCCATTCTGTGCCCGCAAACATTCATATCAAAAAAAAACATTGTCTATAGGTTTTATTATGGTTAGTTAATCTTTGTCTGAACCTATAAAGGAATCCTGCCAAAACAAAATCATCAAAGTTGTGCAACAGTGAAATTGATACTGCAGGTATTTGAATTAAATATTTACAGCGATTACAAACGTACAATATAAAACCAGTAGTAACCTCTCATGCATGAATTATTTAATATTATATAGATTTTTTTTTAAGATTCTTTTATTTACTCAAAATTGGGCTAAAATACAAATCCATTTACATATTTTGAAATTATTTGACTGTCCACGTATGTAGACAACATGCAACTGAGGAGTAAAATGCCGCACCTGACAATGTGGGATATGTTTATGTCATGCTATGCTATGTATTTAAGCTGAATAGTTGAAAATTAACAATAAAACACATTTTAGGAACAAACTGAGGAAAATCACTCATGGTGGTATTTATAACTATAGTTAGATGTATGCGGAAACCCAGTTGCATGTTTTTATCCTTATCTAACTTCATGTTGAATTGTCTGTTTTATCATATCAACATCCAACATGTAACAGATTAGATGGTTCTTGTTAAAATTGATTTCTTTACATTATGTGAGTACAATACTTATTATTTCTTAAAGGCCACAAAAGTCAAAAGTTACTATTTAATGCTGTAATATGCACTTTTGCATTGTTATATTTATGTGTATATAATTGTTAAATGTCTGTTTTATAAATAATATACAGTTCATCACATCCTTGGAAAAAGTAGAATAGATATACTAGCATGTTACAGAAATCAGACATAATGCAATCTGACTCCACTGTTGCATGATGTCTACATATGTGGACAGTTGGATTTTGGTGTACAAAAACTACATTTTACTAAAAATTTTAATTTATAAAACATAAACTAATATGTTACTGTAATATTTTTTGTTTTTTACCTTGATTGACCTCTTTGAAGAAGTTTTTCACAGAGAGTAACAACAGAGTATCCATGTTGCTATCAGTCAACTGATGCTGTCCTCAAATGACTTGGAAAACATAACAATGATATAGTAACCCAAATTGGAGTTAAAATAACTGTCCACAGATGTGGGCACCATGCATGAAAGGGTTAAAAGTTTATTTTCGTACCTCCTACAACAAAGTCTCACATACCTTACAAGAACATGGAAAAATTAAATGTGATAATGATTCTGATATATTTCCCTTTGCTAAAACTCAAATACATTAATATGTAAGTGTGTCTTGATAACTACTTGTGAATATTTGCAGAATTCCCCAGACTGTTTGGATGTTGAGGTTAAACTTCTGCAGTGAGGACGATGAGGCCTGAAGCAGGTGGTGTGAATCATTTACTCTATTTAATAAAGTAGCAACCAACCATTTCCACTCCCCATTTTCAATCCATCAGGTTTTTGTTGAAATCCTTGCTAACCAAATATTTCCCATCTTACCAAGTCTGACCAGACCAGATCTGCTCACTGTAATTTGTTAACCTCATCACTCAGCTTCTGGCAAAATGTCTCAAAATACATCGAGTACTGAGGGGGAAAAAGATAAACACAGAAGGGAAGGAAGTCTTTTTTGTGCATGGTCCTCTGCTGACTGACTTAATGGCACTTGCAAGCTGCATCCACCAGTTCAATTAGTGTTTCCTTGGATTCACCAGAATGCAAGTTCACAACAGGTTTTGCTCTTCCATTAACCAAAAAACCTCCAAAGACGTGAAGACTACAGATGTTTCCAGTCACAGAGAGCAGATTGAAAATAAACGTTACAAGGATGCATCTTACAAAATTACCAAATTAAAGTCCTCTCTTTAGACAGAATATAGATAGAAATGGATAACTACATCTTTGTTTTGTCTTTTTCTCAACACGTGCGTTGAGTCTGTAGTCACTGATGAGGAATTTCAATGTTAAGCATATCCTTTCACACTTCATCCTTCCCACTCAAAATGTATCTTGTCCAGTTGCGTTTAACAACTGTGACATTCCTGCTACACCTCTTCTCCACGTTGCCACAGTTATTCCACCGATCCTGTAATGAGTCATGTTTGGCTCCTCTGACCTCTTCACATCTCCTGACCAGCTACAGTGGTCGGGACTTTTTGATGTGAATGAGTGGCCTTGCTTTTCAAAAATGTTAAACATCCACGGCCAGTGGTCCTGCCAGATTGTTTTTTTAAATAAGGTCATCCACAGGTCACACGTTGGTGTCAGTGAACATCGTGTGCTCCTTCCTCACAGTGCTGAAACCTTTGACGGTGTCAACAAATTCCTCATCGTCCATAAACTGTAAGGGAGAAGAACAGGTTGTTAAATGGAGGATAAGTCACTTTGAAGTGTTTTGGCTTGTTAAATAGGTCCCTGCATCTGTGTTGATGTCTACTTTTTTCACCTATGTGTTGGTATATTGGTGCACAGCTTGAAAATGTGTTTCATGCCTGTGTTCGATGTTAGTAAGACATTCTTTTCTCGAAGACCTGAAGTGTCAGAAAACGCTATGCAATAACAGTCCACTTTGTGATGTGACTGTGACACCAGAGTGGACTGAACAGGTTCAGCATACGTTTTTGGGGTCTCTCACCATCCCACTGTCATGGCCTGAGATGTCTGGGTCCCACGCTTCGTCATCTCCTGTGAGGGACTTCCCGTCCATCACCTGGCTGACGCTGCGCCTCAGGGAGTTCACGCTGAGGATCCCCAGCTCACCCTGCGGTGGGACCTCATCGACGGGCTCACATTTAGCATCCAGCACCTCCTGGTAAGAGGGCAGACAGACAATTGTACTATACCCAAGTGCAACCAAATTTTTTGTATGTGCTGGTGAGGCATTGTGTGTGTGTGTGTGTGTGTGTGTGTGTGGGTGGGTGGAGGGGGGGGGTGTTTACCTCTATCTTCATGGTGAAGGCCTTGAGTGTCACACTGTTGGAGAATCCTGTTGTGTCAGGTACAGTGTCAAACTGAAAAGGAGAGTGGGTAAGACTTTGAGTGTGAAACTATTCACAATTAATTATTCCATCGTTTAGTTTATCTACCATTTATTAATTGTAATTTATGCCATTATATTTGTGCCTGGGACATTTTTTGCAAGTACACAAGTTAAATTTCGTTTGCTCAAATTAAATGATTCTTTGCATGATTATAATTTATATTAACAAAATATAATTACCGTGTTTACAAAAATCTTTTCTGTGCTCAAAATGTCCTATGGTGCGCTCAGGAATGAAGCACAAATGTAGCTCCATATAGATGATTTAATTATCCCACAATTCAAAATAAACCCTAACAAACCGGAACCAGATCCATAATCACGTACCAACTACAACCACTATGCATCACACATTTTCTACATCTTATTTAATATTAAATTTCATTTAGTGTTCCTTGAGATTGAAAATCTAGTTAATGACAAACTGGGCACAGTATATAACACATATTACATATCTTTTTTTAATTAAAAGATATATACAGTACTGTGCAAAAGTGTAACGCAGGAGTGGGGATAATGCTGTAAAGTAAGAATGCTTTCAAAAAATAGATATGTCAATAAATTATATTTACCAATTAACAAAATGCAAAGAGGAAAATCCAAATTAAATCAATATTTGGTGTGACCACTTTGCCTTCAATGCAGCACCAGTTCTTCTAGGTACACTTGCACAAAGTCAGGGATTTTGTAGGCCTATCGTCAGGTGTATGATTAAACAATTATACCAAACAGGTGCAAATGACCACCAATTCAATATGTAGGCTGAAACACAATCATTAACAAACAGAAACGGCTGTGTAAGAGGAATACAGCTGGGTGAGGAACAGCCAAACTCAGCTAACAAGGTGTGGTTGCATTTTTCCACACCTGCCTAAAACACATTGCACAGCATAATACAAATATTTATACTGCAACTAAATTATCCTCAAAAGAGAATTCTTTATCATTGCATACACAGAATAGGCCCTTTTCACATTCATGTTAGCAGGAAAGTCACAGCAGTAATTAATAACATTAATGATGGCTGCATTCCATTCCCAGTCGAAGCCCTACTGTTGTGTATTCTGGTTTACTTGTTATTAGTTAAAGGTGAAAAAGGCTTATTCTCCACATAATGAATAGTGATTATTAAATGAATGCCTTACCAAAACAGAGTTGCTATGTGGATAAACAGCCATGGGGCTCCTCTTCTGCATGGTCAGTGCCACCAGCGGGGGTCTCTCTCGGGTTAAGGGCGGTTTGTTCAGGACCTAATGCAGGGTCGTGGGAGGGAGAGACAGAACTTCATTGAAGTTTCTTTACAGGGAGAGGGCAGAGTTATTACATACAAGCTGAAAGTCCTGCTTTTTGCTACTGTCTTGGGGTTGAAAATTTCACCTTGTTGTAGGCTCCCAAAAGTGACGTCATGCTGCACTACAGTGCAACGTAATGTCACCTGAGTGGAATTTCAAAAGTCTTTTACCAATCACTGACACTGACCTGTGATGTTGGGATCATTCCTTTTTCTGGCTGTCACTCTTGATAAACTATATAACACAAGACGTCTGTCTCTCACCTTATGAAGCATGACACCTAACACGACGGCCAGCAGCAGCAGGGCGATGCCTGCCATCACTACAATGAACCACAGTTCCCGGACGACTGGCTGGCCTCCCTGACCTCCTTCTGCCCGCTCACCGCCCCCCTCTCCTCCTCCAGGAGGAGTGAAGCTCGGTGGATCTGGGGGCAATTTAAACACATGCTAGTTTTTTGTTCTATTACTGTCATTCTGTTGTCTTTAGCATGGTGGCACTGTTAGTATCTGACTGATCTGTATCTGCTACTGCATTTTTGACACCCTTCTCTTTATCTCCTTACAATTATCCAATTATTAACTGAAATTTGTCAGACCACATATGT